TGTAACATGACACCGTCGAACTTTGCCATTGATGCTTTGATGCTGTGAGAGGAATTACTGAAAGGTGTGTACGAGTGGTCCAAGTCGTAATGTTAAAATGTCCGTCATTATATTCATAAGCTTGGCTACAAGTTCATTGTTAATTCACACCTACACGCAACTGTCGCGGTGGGTGCATTGCGGGTGTGCCGTGCAATCTACGAGACATCTACATCTTGAACACCATAGATACAAATGTACCTGCCTATAAGTGCTTATTATACTACATATGCTCCTTCCTAACCCGTGGGTGTCGGGGAGAAAGGGATTGTTAGTAATAGGGACTGAGAATCCCATTGCTAGCAATATACCCAACCAGGTCGTCCTCCTCGCGGTTCCCCCTGGAAACTACCATGGTTAATTCCTGATGAATTCATCATGATGGGCTAACTAACCGATTTTCATTTTCATCTATCACCCTTCACTGGTGCTCCGCCAGCGTATCCCGTTAGCGCGGGCGGGGTTACCATACCATTTTCACCCATCAAAAAAAAACCCGTAGGTGTCGTGAGGCGACTAAGGGGAGTTAATAATCGAGGGATTAACAGTAGCGTCCTTCTTAAAACATCACCAAAGCCTAACTGTGGTTGCCAACCCGCCTGCTAAGCGTGGCAACTATTGGCAAGTTACTCCTTTATGGGGGAGGCTTTATTCAGCAATGGAGAGTTGATAATGATGATACTACATATAAGTCAACAATAGGAGATGTCTTCTTACCCCCTTTTTCATTAGGATGCCAAACCTCTTATAAACGTGTTTTTATTTATGCAACTTAGAATGGCAAACAAGCTGACGGCCCACCTGATGGAAAGTGGTAACCGTCGCCTATAGACATGAGCAGTACCATGGACACAACAGAGTATACTGTTTCGCCCATGATAGCCCCCATGCGTTGCCATTCCTGAGGACTCAGGTATTATTCATCTGTATCCTGTAAATTCACTACCATATCCCAGCCTTCAAACCGAAACACAGCCATGCAAACACAACTGCTTTACAGTAGAAACACGAATGGGACAGAGGTGTCCAAGCAAACGACTTTTGTACAAAGTCTCCCTCATGCTCATGTCTATCGGCAACGGTTATCACTTTCCGTCAGGTGGGCTATCAGCTTATTTGGCATTCTAAGTTGCATAAAAAAATAAAAATAAATAAATAAATATTATTAGCATAGGTAGTGCACTATTCTATGTTCGTGTATTAAAAAAAAATATGATGTAAGTTATTATGCATTATTATCGTGAAAATTTTAAAGCGACCATCAGTATTATTGTTTCTTTGAAAGGTCAAAGAATGGCTTCATGTGAAGGAGTAATGTTAGGCAACCTGCCAATAACCGACGTAAAGTTACCTTAACTGTCTGAATACCTAATATGGACTTGGTATTTATAACTATCACAACGTCACAATATTACAACAATTATATTATGAACTAGTTTTTTAGAATGTGAAAGTGAATTTTAGAAGTGGAAGAATCAATGAAATAGATACGAAATATTTATTTATTCTTTACTGATCACGTTATAAAAAAAAAAATGTCCGGTACAAAAGGTGAATTTAATATTATATAACATTATCTCTTAATCAACTCGACTAGTTTTTTTAATTAGGCGTTATAGCTATCTTGAATATAATTTTGAAAACAGCATCTAATTTGGTGCAGTAGCTTTTGCGCGATACCGGAACATAATACAAATAGACAGAGAGAAAAAAATTCTAAAAAAATATATGCTTTGGCTTCTATTTTTCTTAATAAGACTCCTCATATAATTTTTTCTCAAATATGTTCCATGTAAAGACACTGTCGAGTTACAATTTTATTATATACCCTATATATATATACATATATATAGGTTCAGATTGGTGATGACCAAAGTCTAACAGCGGTGGCCAATCCGTCTGCCAAGCGTGGCAACTACTGGTAAAACTTCCCCTATGGGGAAGGCCCATGTCCAGCAGTGGGCAGTTAATGGCTGATATAATAATAATAATATCTCGACCTGGCTCACAAGGTGACCGAAATGTGGGGGGGTGACATCTACCGAAATCATTCCAATCGTTATGTCGGTGAAAGGTCTTATCCCAACCAGTCTGGAACAACATCTCAGATGGTTGGGATTCCGAGGCGGCTCACTCCCGGGAAAGATGCAGAAAGCGGTGCTTTTTTTTATACAACTTAGAGTGGCAAACAAGCTGACGGCCCACCTGATGGAAAGTGGTAACCATCGCCTATAGACATGAGCAGTACCATGGACATAACAAAGTATACTGTTTCGTCCATGATACCCCCCATGCGTTGCTATTCCTGAGGACTCAGGTGTTATTCCTCTGTATCCAGTAAATTCTCGCCATATCCCACTCTTCAAACCGAAACACAGCCATGCAAACACAACTGCTTCACGGTTGAAATACTAATAGGACAGAGGTACCCAAGCAATCGACTTTTGTACATTTTTGTACATTCCCTCTGGTGAGTCTCTCCCGCTCTTAGATACTGCCCGCATTGTACGCCGGTTTCTCTCCCTGGGGCCCTGAACCCCGGCCGACTGTGCGTCTGCCGGGGGTTAGTTTGCCATCTCCTCTCCTTAAGAGGAGAGATGTGAATTGTTTAAAAATTTAAAAAATAATAGTAAAGGATATCATGAGCGTAACAATGCATTCTGTGATGTTCAAGGGGCTGTTCATACTTAGAAGAACGATTACCACTTTCCATCAGGTGATTCGTCCAACTTGTTTACCATTACGACTTGCATAAAATAACATGATTGCATAATCACACGTGTGCAAACGTTATCTGTTTAGGTATGGAGTAGTGGCAGCCATAGATCACGTGGCGTTGTTTTATGCAAAGCCCATACATCTTCTTTAATATAATGGGTAGAAAAGAGAATAGTAACCTAGTGAATGATGATGACGTCAGTTTTTTTTAATGGGTGAAAATGACATGGTAACCCCGCCTGCCCTATCGGTATACACTGGCGAGCTACCAGTGAGTGGTGATAGCTGAAGATGAAAAGGCAGGTCAGTTAGCCCATCGTGACGAATTCAACGATAAATTAATCATGATAGTTTCCATGGGGAACCGCGTGGAGGTTGACCAGATGCCCTATCATATTGATAGCAATGGGGACTAACCTCCCCATTACTAATAATCCCTCCCCTGCAGGTAAGTTGGCTTAACGTGACTAATTTATCAGAATTTTTATGGGTGAAAATGGAATGGTTAAGCTGCCTGTGCTATCGGTATATACTAGTGGGGCACCAGTGAGTGATGATAGGTAAGGATGAAGCTAGGTCATCTGGCTCTCGTGAACTTATCAGAACAAAAACACCATGGTCTCCATGGTAACCACAAAGAGATCGGTCAGTAGAGATGTTAGTAATAGGGATCTAACAGCCTTATTGCTAGTAATATATTCTATTAGGTCGACCTCCACACGGTTTCCTCTGGAAACCATCGCGATTTAAATCTCGTGAAATTCATCATGTTGGGTTACCTACTTTTAACGTCATCTATCATTGATGCCCCGCTAGCGTATACTGATAGCGCAGGCGGGTGTTACCATTCCATTATCATCCATTAAAACAAAATTGGGCTGTCAGATACTCCTTACTAAGAATCTCATCCCTTCTGTAGTATCTATTAGATCCAATGTGCTGATTATAATACTGATGTTAAAGATAAAAAAAAGCGGTCTCACTTTAAAAATTTCAAAGGAAATCATGAAAGTATATGAAGAGATGTTAGCCGTGTGGTATCATAGAATAGGTCACCCCTTCCTATCCAGTGGGTGTAGTAAGAGCCGACTAATCAGCAGCGTCCCTCTTAAAACATCTCTAAAACCTGACTGCGGTTGCCAACCCACCTACCAAGGGTGGCGACTATTGGTAAAACCCCCTAAGGGGAGGCTTATGTTTTTTTTTAATGGATGATAATGATATGGTAACCCCGCCTGCGCTATCGGTATACACCGGCGGGGCACCAGTGAAGAATGATAGGTGAGGATGATTTAGGTCAGTTAGCTCATCGTGACGAATTCAACAAGAATTGTCCACGATGGTTTCCAGGGGGAACCATGTGGAGGTCGACCTAATAGGACATACTGCTAGAAATGGGGCTGTCAAACTCCATTAATAACAATCCCTTTCTCCCTGGGGAGGCTTATGTTCAGCAGTGGACAGTTAAAGGCTGATGTGATGATGAAGAAATGTGTGTAAGACTTTTGATGGTCATATTTCTCTACATGTAAATGGGTAATTTTAATATGCGTGATTAAGTATTTTTCACAGACGTCTAGTAAGATTTTTATTCATCACCAGATAATTCACTAAGCGTGAATTTACAGGGTACAGATGAATAACACCTGAGTCCTCAGGAATGGCAATACATGAGGGGTATTATGGACGAAACAAATTACTTTAATATGTCCATGGTACTGCTCATGTTTATAGGCGACGGTTATCACTTTCCGTCAGGTGGGCCTTCAGCTTGTTTGCCGTTCTAAGTTGTATAAAAAAAAAAGCTAGTTTGTACCACATTTTATTGGTCAATAAAATTTATCTAAATAAAACTTTACCTTGTCATAGTTGTGCATAGAGCGGTTTCAGTGGAATTTTTCAATAGATGTATGAGAAAGAACACGTGATTACGCTCTTGTTCTACGAGTATCTTAGCATGTGACAGCGATGATGTATCTATCGATTCTTTTGCCGCTTCGCTAAAGTAATAATTTATTGTCAGGCGTCCTGTATGCTTATTCGCCTCCATTGTGGCATAATGATCTAGAATTAGGTATCATATCTCATCCTTAAAATCAGAATTAGTAGCAAAGAAGTTACTAAGCGACAGGAATAGATGAGACGTAATCTATGTAAACTTTATTCAAATTCTCTAATGAATCTTATGTAAAATAAAAATAAATAAGAACAATAAATGTATATATTAATTATGAATGAGAAAGAAAAGTTTTCACATCTCTTTTCAATACGATGCGAGTTCTTATCTTCAATCAATAGGCTGTCAAAGGCTCCATCCAAATCTATGTAGGCACAGTTACGCCGTAATGGGCAAAGTCAATTTATAAAGTCGATGTCCTGCCGTCTTGTTAGCCAGTCGAAGGCATCGCGCGACGCCGCGCCATTCAAATCTTCGCCACCGATGCGAGACTACAGCTCCCAAAATATTTTCGAAAATAATCAATTTCGGTCGATGTCCAACGCCATTAGTATTCAGAACACGTCGTGTGCCTAGGCCGTCCGCGCTGACGCGCCACTGACACATTTCTGCGGTTTCGCGTGCTGTTTGAATTTAGAATAGTTTTTCCATTTGTTATTTTTTTTTTTCATTTCGTGAAATCGATATTTTGTGCCAGTATCACGTGTACTTATCACGTTCTGGAAATTTTGTGAGATTTGACCACACTTGTTCGGGCGAAATTTCACGGTAAAGGTAAGATTAGATTATTATTATTATTATCTATTTATGTTTTATATTATAGGCATTTTGTAGTTTTTAAATGAATATGTAATATAAATAAAATTAACACAAGGAAAATAATAAAAAAAAAAAAAAAACTTTATAATCAATTTATTCAAATATCTAATTAAGCTACATTTGTTTCACATTCCGACTATTACAAGTTTAAACGTAAATGTTTTAACGTAGATATAAAAAAACAACACATGATACAACTTCACGATAAACCTGGTATAATTAACTGAATAAATTACTGTTCAATTAAAAAAAATAAACAATTAAAATAAAAAAGCTGGCTCATCACGGCCTAAAAACTAATAAAAGGTAAATTACAAACATATTATTTACTAGCTTATTGCCCGTTTCATCGTACGCATGAATTACAGAAGTAGGAAAACTAATAAAGTAGATAACTTGTAGATGGTGAATCAAGACAAAACTTTAGGATAAAATATAAATCAGATTTGAAGTTAACACTTCAGAAATACAATTGCGAGAACTGTATTTAATTTGGTACAGTCGTTTTTGTGTGCTGCTAGAACAAACATACAGACAGACTGACAGCCAAAATTAAAAAAAAATATTGTTTTCGCAGCTATGGTTTTATTAAGACCCCTTATATTACTTTTTCTAAGTTTCTGTCGAGTCGATTCTGAGGCGCCATTTATCTCTATATTTTAAATTTGATATCACGACGACATCTTAAACCTTAGAATCAAACTTAACAAAATTTGTAATAGATTTAAGTAAAAATTAACACAAATTTTGTTTGTTATAGTCTATAAAACACCAATTTCCCGAAATTATCATTTTAAAATATTAGGTTAAACGATAAATATAGAGAATTAGTGCTTCAGAATCGACCCCATTGTCCAGTTCCAACTCTATTAATAAGATACCCTCCAAACGTAAGCTAAATAAAAAAAAATAAAGCTAAATAAAATATGTATAATAATATAAAATAGTTAAAAATAAACAACAATAGATTAAGAAATTTATTGGGATGACAAAAAACTAAAACCGGTTACATTAAACAGCTGACATTTTGATTAAAAAAAAAACTACCTGCCATCCATGTGATGTGATATACCATAAGAAACGTCGAGAGATGATAATTTTACGCTTTGTAATGGCAATTCCAACTGTTATGAGTCGTAATATATTGTAAATTAATATTTTTAGACCTGTTTGTGTGGTAATCAATTTGACAAATAGTATATAGTACGAGTATATATATATATATATAGTATGTTGACCTTATCATATTATCTAACGGGGAATTAAATATCAATATTGCATCACTTTTTATAACCTGAGGTGTGATTTTTAATAATAACCTTATTTTTATTTTATTTAGGTCTGTATTGAACGCAACAGATTCGCAGAATTATATTTTATTATTTATAAGTTACTTGTTGTGCACGGTTTCGATCACAGTAAAACTCGTTTTCTTGCGTTTCTATGAAAAACTTCAAGAGCCTTTTCCTTGTGTTAAATCACTCAGCTTTCTCCAAGAAATATTCTAAAATAAAAAAAAATAATAATCAATCTACATTAAATAAACGGAAGTTCTTAATTCAAATGTTTTTTTTTTCATTTCACGTGGCCATTCAGTTTATAAAAAGGATATTTTTCTATTCCGATGTTCTATCTTTAAAAAAAAAATTTGAATTCTATAAATATTATCACTACATTTAAATACTTTTGCTCATATTTGTTTATATATGTTAAAAATAAATATATATTTATTTGCTTTTCATTGGTTTATAATAATTTATTGAGGAATTCAGTAACATAACGTCAGTTTTAAAGCTTTCGAACAGCAATTTTCTCTGATAATTGTAAACTTATAAATGGGCTGAATAATGCTTAAAATAACTAGTTCTTGATAAAAAACGACCATTTATATCACGACGATATTACATTTAGGTCCCACTGCTGGAAAATATTAGCCCACGGTGGCAAATTTTATTTGTATATTTAAGAAATAACATATAAAAAAAAAACGCACACGTGTGTAAGCAATATACTTCATTTTCAAACAACTTAAAAAAGAAATAGGGTCTCGATTTGGTTGTATTATTTTTATGTTTATTTCCTCATAACTTCGCCAGTTATACTCGGATTTTGAAAATTCCTTTGTTTTTTTATCTAAAAGGACATACTTATACATTCGTTCCATAGAAATCTTTGTCAAATTCAGTAATTTAGTATTGAGATAAAAATAACTGGTTTTTTCACAATCGGAATCTGTTTTTTTTTTATTCTGGAATACAAAACAATACCAGAGGGAGACTTTGTACAAAAGTCGATTGCTTGTGTACCTCTGTCCCATTCGTGTTTCTACCGTGAAGCAGTTGTGTTTGCATGGCTGTGTTTCGGTTTGAAGGGTGGGATATGGCGTGAATTTACTGGGTACGGAGGAATAACACCCGAGTCCTCAGGAATGGCAACGTATGAGGTGTATCATAGGTGAAATAGTATACTCTGTTATATCCATGCTACTGCTCATGTCTATAGGCAACGGTTACCACTTTCCATGAGGTGGGCCGTCAGTTTGATTGCCATTCTAAGTTGTATAAAAAAAAACAATCTTAATTATACAATATATCGAATAAAATTTACATAATGGATTTAAATAAAAATAAACCACAAACTTTGGTAAGTAATTTAGATCTATAAGTAGCAAAGTGACAAAATAATGGGGTCTCATTTATTCTTACTAAGGTTAATGGTTTTATAAAAGGCACTAGAGCGGACCAGTCGTGAATTAAATATCTTTGCGACTGTAATACCGTATGAGGTATTTCTCAAATGTTGCAGATGTAGTGAACGAAACAATAAAACAAAAGAAGCTTCCCTTGGATTAATTGGCTTGTTAATGGTGTTTTCTATCACCAGTGAGTTTTAACTCTTTATTGCACCATAAATAAAAATATACAATGACAAGTGAATAATTCATGTGAAATACAGTAACATAAATACAGATTGAAATATACACATAAAGGTACAAAAGGCGGTCTTATCACTAGGGCAATCACTTACAGACAACCTTTGGTTAAAGGAGAACAGATAGAAATGGGCAGGTGGCGCAAGAGTGAATTAATAATTATTCGTGCATAAAATACAAAAATAAAGACAATAATTTCTCATGTCAGACAAATTTGACTAAAAAAATCAAATTTATTCAAATAGACTTATTTACAAGCACTTTTAAATCATCATTATTTTTTATGAATGCACTGTTCGTAAAATTGTTATCTGCTAAGAAGAACCCGCAAAAACACAATAGTCTTACTCTCTTAAATATCTCTTAATATTGTGTATTTATTTAACAAATGATCTTTGATTTTTGAATAGTAAATAATTTGACAAATACGTTCTTACTTGTTTGATCTTTTGAAAATGTTTCATATTTCACTTAAATTATAATAGTATAAACACATTCCTATACAACTATAAATAAGGCTGTACATTAATTCTCTCCCTCTCTCTCTACTCTATCAGGTCGACCTCCTCGCGGTTCCCCCTGAAAACCACCTTGATTGGGTTATTGTTGAATACGTCACGATGAGACAACTGACCTGCCTTTTCATCCTCAGCTATCACCTCTCACTGGTAGCCGGCCAGTGTATACCGATAGCGCAGACGGGGTTACCATACCATTACCACCTATTAAAAAAAATTCTCTCTCTCTCTTCGTCCACTTCATTACTGAAGGTCGTGTCCTTGAAAGGTGTCTGTTGCCTTTTTTATGATGTTATTCCAATTCGCACGGTCTTCAGCCTCTGCAGGGCAGCTGCAATTGACAGTCCCGTAACGGCGGTCACTTGGTTCGACCATCGACTAGGCGATCGTCCGCGTTATCTTTTCCCCTCTATCTTGCCTACAACCATTAGTTTGTCCAGATTGTCGAACTGTTGTCGAGCAATATGACCGAAGTATCCAAGATTACAAGTATATTAATTAACATAGGAAATATCCCTATATTAAATTTTACCGGGATATATTAACTGACCGGAATAAAAAGTATATTGTATCCTTCTTCATCCCTTGTATGTTAATACTAACTTGAACAGTGATTAGTTAAGTGAAAATGTATTTACTATTTTATAAATGGTGCAATAAAGTGTAAATAAATAAATAACTTTTTCGCCACTGAAGATCATTGTGTAATTTTACTATCATTTATTATTTTTAATTTCAAATTTATGTTTTTAAGTAAATGAATCAAAAGGACACTTCGTACAAAAGTCGTTTGCTTGCGCACCTTTGTCCCATTTGTATTTTTACCGTGAAGCAGTTGTGTTTGCATGGCTGTGTTACGGTTTGAAGTGTGGGATGTGGCAGTGAATTTACAGGGTACAGAGGAATAACATCTGAGTCCTCAGGAATGGCAACGCATGGGGAGTATCATGGGTGAAACAGTATACTCTGTTATGTCCACGGTACTGCTAATGTTTATAGGCGACGGTTACCACTTTCCATCAGGTGGGCCGTCGGCTTGTTTGCCATTCCTTAGAATGCAACTTATTGCATAAAAAAAGTGAATGTAAAGCAAAAGTGTCATTCATTTGAGCTCTTCAGAAAGGCAGTACCAAAAAACAATAGATACACGTAAAAGGCCGACAACTATATACAACTATTAACAACTAGCGGGTCGACCCGGCGTCGCACGGGTGGACATTTTTACATTTAAAAAAGTGGCCATTAAGGCTGCACACGTGACGAAAGCTTAAAAATGGAGTAATTTCTTCCGTTTTGCCAACATTTCTCTTCACTGCTCTGCTCCTATTGATCTTAGCGTGATGAAAAGTATATTATAATCTGCCCAGGTGTATGAAGAATAATTGTACCAAATTTCGTTAAAATCCGTCGAGTAGTTTTTGTTTCTATAACGAACATACAGACAGACAGTAAAAAATTTTACTGATAGCATTTTTGGCATCAGTATCGATCACTAATCACCCCCT